GTACAAACTACTCACCATGTTCTCAGTAAAACCAAAGATAAAACCATCCATTTATCTAGTCTCCAATAGTATAACCAAGGACACGCTACCTACCACAGTACAAGGTACCTACCATGTTTCTAATTCCTAAGACTACGACCGATAAAGGAAGCCATCGGTACAAACTACTCACCATGTTCTCAGTAAAACCAAATATAAAACCATCCATTTATCTAGTCTCCAAGAGTATAGCCAAGGACACGCTACCTACCACGGTACAAGGTACCTACCATGTTTCTAATTCCTAAGACTACGACCGATAAAGGAAGCCATCGGTACAAGCTACTCACCATGTTCTCAGTAAAACCAATGATAAAACCATCCATTTATCCAGTACACAAGAGCATAACCAAGGGCACGCTACCTACCACGGTACAATGTACATACCATTTTCCTAATTCCTGAGACTACGACCGATAAAGGTATACAAGGATACAAGCTACTCACCGTGTTCTCAGTAAAATCAAAGATAAAACCATCCATTCACCAGTCCCCAACAGCCTAGCCAAGGATACGCTACCTACCGCGGTACAAGGTACATACCATGTTCCTAATTCCTGAGACTACGACCGATAAAGGTATACAAGGATACAAGCTACTCACCATGTTCTCAGTAAAACCAAAAAGATAAAACCATCCATTCACCCAGTCTCCAATAGTATAGCCAAGGACACGCTACCTACCACGGTACAAGGTACATACCATGTTCCTAATTCCTAAGACTACGGCCGATATAGGAAGACATCGGTACAAGCTACTCACCATGTTCTCAGTAAAACCAAAGATAAAACCATCCATTTATCCAGTCCACAAGAGTATAACCAAGGATACGCTACCTCCACGGTACAAGGTACATACCATGTTTCTAATTCCTAAGACTACGACCGATAAAGGAAGACATCGGTACAAGCTACTCACCATGTTCTCAGTAAAACCAAAGATAAAACCATCCATTTATCTAGTCCACAAGAGTATAGCCAAGGATACGCTACCTACCACGGTACAATGTACATACCATTTTCCTAATTCCTGAGACTACGACCGATAAAGGAAGCCATCGGTACAAGCTACTCACCATGTTCTCAGTAAAACTAAAGATGAAACCATCCATTTATATAGTCCACAAGAGTATAGCCAAGGACACGCTAGCTACCACGGTACAAGGTACCTACCATGTGCCTAATTCCTAAGACTACGGCCGATAAAGGAAGCCATCGGTACAAGCTACTCACCATGTTCTCAGTAAAACCAAAGATAAAACCATCCATTTATCTAGTCCACAAGAGTATAGCCAAGGATACGCTACCTCCACGGTACAATGTACCTACCATGTTCCTAATTCCTAAGACTACGACCGATTAAGGTATACAAGGATACAAGCTACTCACCATGTTCTCAGTAAAACCAAAGATAAAACCATCCATTCACCCAGTCCCCAAGAGTATAACCAAGGACACGCTACACGGTACAAGGTACCTACCATGTTCCAGAAGAGAGACAGTGGCGAGAGCTGCCAGTCCTGTTTGCTGGGACGGCGACAGTCACCGAGAGACTTGCTCCTGACGTTGATGACATTGTCCTCGCGTGTCACCTCTCGAGGACAAAAACCTCTGACATCAAGATGGTCCTGGACATCAACCACAGCATCAAGAAACACCGTAAAACTTTACAGATTGAATATAAAAAGGCAAGAAATATCACTCATAAAATTTATTGAAAACCAATTCTAAGATTCCACCCTTCATTGCAACATATATAAGAGAATTGTCCAATACAGTATTAGAGCTCTAAGAAGCGGTACGGAATACCAAATAGGCGGAACCGCTTGGAGGGTTCACTACTGATGAACCAAGCCCTACCAATATTTTTTCATCTCAGTAAGGACAGTAAAATTTTGTTTTATATTTTAAAAAGAAACGTTCGTGCTTTAACGCTTCCATTTCTGATACCTGGAGATGATATGGAAGAAGAGGACCTACATGTTCCTGCTGATGTCTGGACTCCAGGATCCTGGGGACTCCAAACATGGAGATAATTCCTCTCTTGAGGTTGAGCTCTGGAAGTGGATCCTCGGAATTAGCCAGGACTTTTTGAAGTGATCCACGAACCAATGAGAACCAGGCGGGATTCCTGGATACACATTCTCTCCTGTAGATTTTACGTTTTTCAAATTGGTTGTAACTTAGTTCTTCATGTTCTTCAAGTGTAGGGCATTAATCATTCTAGTAGACAATATACACATATGTACACTCATGGACAACACTTAAGGAAGTTGTATCTTTCAGCATTTATATCGAGATTCAGATAATAACTCTGAAATATATTTGATACACAGTGACCTTTATTGAAGACACACGAGATAACCAAGTGTGCTTTGTTGTGTGCTGAGTTGCCTCTGTCTTCTTAAAAAAAAAAAAAAAAAAAAAAACAGGGGACCGGGAACATCAAATTTGTCCATTAGTGCATATGGCTCATAGAATATATACAGAGAGTGTCCCATTTTAAAAATATCGATTTTATGTATCATAGAATATGTAATACAATATAATGCGGCTTATGATTGTAGAATGAATTTTGACAATTATATCTCAAATGTTTCTTTTGAACGAAAAATCGAAATTTATTTTAAGGAGAAATAACGATTATTTCTAACCTTAGGGATAAAGTATGATAGAATGAATTGTGAATAGTAATGATAAACGGAAAAATAAAGTGGGTTCGATTCCCATCCCTGGACACTTTACTTTTCCGTTTGTCATTACTCTTCACAATTCATCCTATCATACTTCATCGCTAAGGTTAGAAATGATTGCTATTTCTCCTTAAAATAAATTTCGATTTTTAACTCAAAAGAAACATTTGCGGTATAATTGTCAAACTTCGTTCTTAGAATATGTATATGTGTATATATTTATTATTTTAAAAATAAGGCTTATTTTGGGGATTGTAATAAGATTATTTATTAATCCGATATTTCGATGGACCAATCTTCCATTCTTTACGAGGTATTTTGCCGTTAAATTTTTTATTACAATCCAAAATTAGCCTTATTTTAAAAATATACATATACTATGGATTGCTCTATATTCAGAATATTTATTATTGTTTTAAATATTGAAAATGTACATTATTGAGGTAGAACATGAAGAAATATTATTGCATATTATTGCTAATCCAGACAAAATGTGGTAAAATACTCACTTCGACATCCGGGTCCAGGGTCTTTCTTCCAGAAGCGGTTGCTCTTGACCTGGGGATCCAGCGTAAGACTTGACATTGCAGTCGTTTACCTGCATACCCATCCCAACATCAGTCCACATGGGACATTCATCACCTCACAGCACCCTCTATATTTCTCTAAGGAAACTCGGAATAGTGATTTTGTTCTCTAAATATATTTCAATATTTTTATGCCATATAATAAATAATATTTCATATATAACTAACTTATTGCCTTATAGGTAAAACTAACTTTTTACATATAGCTATGGATATATATAAATAATAATATGTAAATACACTGACAGCTATACAAGACCGCTTCTCTTCCAGGATGGTGTTAATACCTTCTCACAATACACCATCTGCAGAACCAAAGAGGCCTCACCAGACCACCTCTTGGAATGTATGGAAGCCTCAAAACAGGACCTACATTCCAACCCTACCAATATTGTATTTTTTTTTTTGCTTATCCCTAGCACACGTGGTACAGGCCATGATAATCATGGTGGGTAGAAGTTACTGTAAGTGTACCACATGACTACACATGCGTAAAGCAGTTCGACTTTGCACTTACAATGTGCCAGAGCCCCGTTTGGTTACTTGCACTCCTTGGTGGGGTTGGACTTTTGCAAAAATCGAAGGCCAATGGGGCATTTTTTTATCAGAAAAAAAGTGCCCAATGCGGGAATCGAACCCGGGTTGTAGCGGTCAAAAACCAATGGTTTAGACCAGACTTCCACCGACCCCCACCAAGATTGTAAATTTGATCAATGAATATAGTCTCCATGACCTTGTATACTTATACAATGGGAAAATAAAAAAGTAAAAAAAAACTATATTGCTTGAATGAAGAATTTTGACACAGAAGATGTCGTGTATACCTGCAGATGGTAGAAACAGGCTGAATGGTGAGACAGGACAACTTCACACTTCAGTTCTAGAGAGGATGCATCTGGGGCTGCACCGAAGACTTCCGATCTTCCACGAGCGACGTACCGGTAGCGGTGGGAGAACCCGGAATGGAGGAGGTTTCCTGTATCACATACACCTTGGCTATACATACTGAGTACATTTACATATACCGTGTGTTAAATGTGTGCACCCATACCTGCTTTACGTCGGGGTTGCGTTCCAAAAAACACGACGCAAATTGAAACGACGCAAAGTGAAAATATGTGAAGGCGCAATCAAAAACAAAGGTGTTGCCATATTTTAGGAAAAAAAAAATAAAGACTCGAATCCAAAACAACGCAACTTCGACAATCAACGACGCACATGTAAATCAGTAAAAATTAAGCAGCGACGCAATTCCGAAAAAAACGCAAAACGAAACGACGCAAAGCGAGGTATTGGTGTATGTACATACTGAGTATATTTACATATGCATTGAGCAAAATGTGTATATATAGTAAGAGGAACCAAAAGATTTTTGGTCTCAGAGATACAGCCTGCAGCACGCTGACAAGGGCCAACAGCCCGAAACGCGTTCGTTGTTTTATTTTCTTGATTTATCAAGAAAATGAGTTGGCTAAATATCAGGGAACAGGTTAAATCAACATTTAGTTGATTTCTGTTCCACTAGATGGCACTCTGTTATCTAAAAAGTTCATTTGAGCGATCAGGATTTGCATATTTTGTTTTTAATATTAACACCTGACCTTTTTTTTCAATTTTTTTCACATTTAAAACCTTATATCATGTTCAAATTTCCTTAAACTATATCAACAATAAATCCCCAAGCCGTAATAGATCAGTTGGGAGAGGGCTAGACTGAAGATTTAAAGGTCCCTGATTCAATCCCGGGTTTTCGGAATTTATTTACAACTTCCCTTCTGCAAAGTCTGTCACCTCTACTCCACCAACTCATCATTCTATATACAGTTACGAGCGTCATGCGTTCTTAATTCTTCAGTTTTCATCTCTGTCACCGTTTTTTTTTTTTTTTTTTTTTTGAATGGCGCTCTCCTATTGGTTGGCTACGATCACGCCACCTATACTATTAATCAAGAATGGGTATTTGGCCAATTCTGGAATAATTAAAAATCATCGAAAATAGTTTATATTTATTCCGATAGATGGCGCAAGCCATCAGCAACTTTCAGTTGCACGATAAGGAGATGCCTTTTTCATAATTTATTTTAACTTGTTCTGTGATATTTGGCTAACCCAGGATATGCCTTTTTTATTTTTAATATCAACACCTGACTTTTTTATATTTTTAAATCATTTTTTTTCACACATTTAATAATATAACGCTAAAATAAAAAAATATATATTATATAAAAATATTAACATTATTTTAAAAGTAAAAAAACAGAGAAATAATCATTTTTTATAGAATATCAAAAGAAAAAATTAAAGAAAAATCTAATAAATAATTCTCTATGGATCCGATAGATGGAGCTAGGTGTATCACCCAGTACTCATTCCCCCATAGAGAAGTTTTAGAAGTTCTTTTAAAGTAAAAATTAAACATTTAACTATTATCTAAACTATTATATAAATTATATATTTATTATTATTAAAATAAAAACACTAAATTTTTATATATAAATGTTGTGTATAAAAGTGGGCCTTGTATTTGAAATGATAAGGTATGTATTTATTTTAAACGTTTTAATTATCTAGGAATGAGATTACATAATATAACACACAATAAAAGTACATACTTGAGGTGTGACATCGAAGGCGGTAAACAACGGAAAATTTTTATTCGATTACATCTTATATTTACAACACAACGTTGTCGAATCTATTTCTAACAATTATAAAAATATACAACAGTCTCCCCTACTTTAGATAAGACACTTAAGGATAGTTTCCTGTTTTTATATTTCTGGTTGTGTAGACATAGTCCTCAAGATGTCGCGGGGGTCGTCTTGGGCGTTGTGATCTGCGTAGGGGTGTATCAGGCATGGATATAGGTTCCTGATCAGATTTCTGGTCGGGGTCATGATGCTCCTGTTGATTCGTTTCAGGCTGTGAAACAGTGTATTGGATCGGGTCAAAGTCTGGTGATGACTAGCTTGGTTTCGATTGGTAGTATATTGTAGATTCGTCAAAAGTGACTTGTTTCTTTTAATTTCAACTTTTTGAAGTTGGTTTATGTGACGTTTTAGAGATTTTCCTTCATCTAATTCAATGATGTATTGAAGATTTCCAAGCTTTTGTTTAATAGGGCCATTTTCCAAAACGGTTTGTTGCTGATGAAAACTCTTGCTTGAACTCTTTTTCCTACCTGAAGACATCGTGTACGCGGTTGAATTTGCTGTTGGGACCTTTCTTCCTGATAAGGTCGCATAGCATCAAGTTTTATGCGAATTTGCCTGTTCAGATACATTTCTGATGGTGATCTCCCACTTGCTAATGGAGTTTCTCGATAACGAAGGAGTATCTTTTGAATCTTCTGGTGTATTGGAACATTTTCGTTTATCATAGATTTAAGTTTGTTTTTCAAGGTTTGAACATTCCTTTCAGCGAGTCCATTTGTTGCTGGGTGTCCGGGCGCTATGAATTTTTGTCTGATCCCGTTTTCAAGACAGTAGTTCGAGAAGGTATCACCGGTAAATATTGATGCGTTGTCAGAAACCATGACAAAAGGGTATCCATGGGTTGAAAAAATGTCATTTAAAAGT